TGGGGCCTGGGGTGGGATATAGACACTTTTGCATCCTGCTCTTCCTTGGCTTTCCTGATGAGAAAACAGCAGATTATTGACAAGTCAAGATAACTATTTGCTAACCTTCTGCCCACCAAGAAAGACCTGAGAACATCTCAAGGATCACAGGGCAAAACCAGGTACATGGGCACCAACTCGGTTTGACTGTAGAAAAGTATGTCTGTGTCATTTCCAGTCCCAGAACCCTCTGGTTTTATAAGTTGGGGCTCCAAGTCCCCCCTAAATTTTCGGGGGGACTTGGAGCCCCAACTTATAAAATTTATTCACTATTATTGAGCAGTCATTGCCTATGAAACACTGAATTGAAAACTCTACACAATTTATCTCATTCCGGCCATACAGTAACCATAGATAGTTAGCACCATAATTATTCCCATTTCACAGATGAAAAGATCGAGGTTTAGAAAGGTTAAGACTTTGTCTAAGATCAAGATCTAATGAAAGACTAAGCCAGGATCAAACTAGGGTCGTTTTTATTTCACAGTCAACACTTTTAATCACTTTGACGTCCTACCTTTTGTGGACACGGTTCTGCTTCTGTGCCAGAAGTCAGAGTCCACCTGGTTAATATACAGTGCAAAACCAAAAAGGCTTCCATTATATTTCATGCCAGAAACAATCACCCAAGTAGTTAGGCATCAAAGTGAACTACTTTGAATTTATCAATTGCCTTTTATCCTCTACCTGCCACTTGAGACTTTGCTGTCCTCCGCGTACTGACAAACCCTATCTTACCTGGAGCAGGAATGTTTTTCAGTTTAAAACAAAAAAAGGAAGACCATTATTCCTTCCGAGCTAAGAGCACTCAAGAGCTTTGCCAAAGTTGTAACTCCCCCAGGGCTCACTGCAGTTGATACAGAGCTCCAGGAACCTCCAACTTTGCACTTTGCAAGCTGTTCCTACTCAACAGATAAAAGGGAGAGATAGACACCCCGAAGTTAAATTTTAAATACCCTCTCACAGAGCCTTTCAGGTATAAAGATCACCTTAAAGACTAAAAGAATAGAATGGAAAGCATCTATATGTTACACATTCACTCAAAAAAGATTTTGCTACACAAATTAATTAGTAGTTTCATACAAATGTTCATTTCTTTACTGTAATATACATACCTTGATTATGTAGGATGTTAATATTAGAGGAAGCTGGGCAAAGAATATGTCTTTGCATCTCTTCTATAAATGTAAATCTTTGCATCTCTTCTATAAATGTAAATCTATGTCCAAAATAAAAGGCTTTCAAAAATGTAGTGACATGCTAGGTAAGAGTCCCTACAGTATGCTCCTAAAGAATGACTGTAAGAACAGCATTACTGATGGAATGCAGTCGAAGTGAGAATTGAGTCATTTTCATCAACAATGTATCATTGGTAGCAACAGCACAGAGTTCCCCTAATCCAAAGCCATGGGAATAACACATCTTGCAAACCAAGGATTTAATAACAGCTGAGCAAAAAAGAGAGTTTGGTCATAATGCTTCACATCTGGGCCATAAATATACCTTCTATATAAAATACTGCAGTAAACAGTATTGGCAGCAGGAGGTGAGGCAGGTATAGGGTGTGAGGAATGAAGTAAAAGAGAGAATATATGAATGCGATGAACTTGAAGGAAACAAATACTCATTTTTATTTGGCATCTAGGATCAAATCGGGGAAGAATTTCCACATTTATATAAGTAACTTTATAATATAAAAGGAATAACACACTGGGGCACAGGTCCTAGACACAAGAAAGTGTTTTTTTAACTTTTCCAAAGGAAGTTTCAGAAACACCCATCCAAGAGTTACTTGTTATAACCAAAGCATTTCAGAAGAATTTAAAAAAGCAATGAAAGGACAGAATACTTAGAGCCCACAGAAAACTTTCTAAGAAAGTTCTGAGGATGATCAAATCCAGAATCAAGAGCACTTTCAAGAATTTGAAGGTCTTTTACTTAAGGACCATGATCATTTAATCTTCTTTGCTAAGACCAAAAGAAAAGAGATTTATCCAGTTTAGAGGACCTCTTTGCAGACATGAGGAAGGTGGTCTTAAAATAATGGGTGAGGAAATATCTCACCAGGTCACCAAAGGTGATTACAATATTGTCTTTAGATGTCATTGCAAAGAGAAGAGGCTGCTTTTGCAAGGGTTTAATATAAACCTGCCTTAAAGCACAGAGGAAGAATAGATGGTCTATTTTGGGTCTGTTTCCTCCTGAATTCATGGAATCAAAGCATATATAATATGCAGCTGCTTTAATATTTCTTTGAAGAGTATTTGCTAGAGAGGAATCAGGAAACATTATTCTAGGACAGAAAGCACCAGTCACATCATGAAACTCAGGCGTAAAAAATCCCTTGACTGATCCAGTTTTCTAACCTTTCTTCTTATTTCATAGACTTTCTGAGGACATATGACCCACGAACCTGCAATTTAGGAGACAAGCTGACCTGGAACGAAGCTCTGATTTCTTTTGCAATAAGACAACTGAGATAAATTCATATGAGAATAAATCATGGCCCTAAACCAGAATCTTAAAAAAAAAAAAAAAAAAAATGCCGTTAGTCCCTGACACCTAATTTCAAGGGGCATATCCAGTCACATCCTATTTATAATACCCTTAAGGTAAAGTTAAAGTAAATCATTCTGTTTTTGAAATTTGTATTTTATTGCTCTTACAAATGAGAAAAAAACATAATCACCTGGTACACTGTGTTTGTACATTATTGTTTGAAAACCATACTGTGATAAACTCCTCCACCTCACCCCAAACAGCTTGGTAAAACCCCATTTCACTTTATACCAGTTTGTCCTTCCATTTATATTTTAATAGAATAATTTGGTCAGACAGCCAAAGGACTCCCCACTAATGAAATAAGGATTTGCTAAGAAAAATCAATTTGTAAGTTGCCTTACCATCCGTCAAAGACAAAAACAGTTATGAAAGTCTGAAACACAGCAACCATCCTCAGACTCGAAAGAACCAGTAGGACAGTATGTATTAGAGGCAAGCAAAGGGTTAACACAGCTGATTTGTAGGTTAAGAGAAGGATGCAACATAATGTTTTAAGACAAACATCTGGAGGGAAAAAAAGTAGTATTTTGTTTCCATCTCAAGAAATTGCAGACAAACATGAAGCGAATCACTTCATCAGAATACTCAATTATCTGAACGTGCTAATTAACTAAATGTAATCAACCTGCTTTCAGTCCTCTCTTCACCTGCTGTAGTGTTCTAGTGCATTGCCTTCCTTATTCCTCACAACCAGTAAAACATTAGACAGTCTGCGTGGTGCATCAAAGGGAAACAAATAAGCACACATTTTTGCTGACGGCAGGAATTTCTCATGCTCAGGGCATATGAATCAACAATATGGAAATGACTGCACTGGTTGTATATTTTAATTATTCTCCACACCTATTTTGCAAAAGAGACTTAAAGTTCAATTAGGTAATATGATGCTCAGTTATGGTTATTTCATAAAACTGAGCACAGACAGTCATTTAAAGTAGTAAATATGCAGTCATGACAGAATTAAATATTCATGAAATCAAGAGCGACTGGAAAGCTGAGGATATCGGAATATTAAAATTCATCATAGTTTTCACAATGTAAATCTTGTATGCATTTGTAAGGCACCCCGGTCGCATCTAGAGTGTGTTCAAATTCTAGTTCCTTGGTAAACTGCCATTTAAATAACAATATTGATTTTGGAAGATAAACAACAATTTTGATTCTTAGCTCCGTTTCAAAATGCAAAACAATTCTGAACATTTGCAAATCTGAACTTGTTAAGTGAGCCTGTCTCCAAACACTGAACAGCAATTCAATGTGATCCTGACACATTTCCAGCATTTGTTTAATCCACTAGTGTCTTAGGAAAGCTCTAACAGAAACCAAGGCAATCTCCAAGAAGGGGCACTTTATGACACACAATTCTGTTCTAACTAGAAGTGCCCATTTTCCTGCACACTTCTTTAAGTGAGCAAAAGTGAGAAAGTAGACTGACTCATTTGGTTCCAATATTCTGATTTGTTGAACCAACTTTTCCCCAATATTACCAGCCAGTTTCAAAATATATTAACAAATATACCGTGTACACTTTATACAGATAAAACAAAGCAACATTAGCTTCCACAAAACTAAACTCAGAGTGTGTGAAGGAAGATTACCCAGAGACAAAGCTGTAATAAACACACCCTCCTAATACTACCAAGGCAGTATTTTCTATGCCATTTCCTCTACTTTACAATTTTCTCAGCAGAAGAGACATTAGCACCAGAAAATAACATTCAAGCCATTTCTTATTAGAATCCAATTACCTGAAGAACTCCTCTTTCCACAGCAAGTAGCAGGTATCCCCTGGTCTACAATGACACAGCAGGGCTGCAAAAGATTTGTAGGGCTCATCTGCTGCCAGCCTCTTGATCCCTGCCCTCCTAGAAGGAGGATACCAGGTCAGGAGGAGGACCTCCAGCTTAGAGCAGGGTTAAGCAAGGCACTCCATTCTGCAAATGAGCCAAACTTTGCTCCCATTATCATCTTTAGGTTGATGTCACCTCCCTCCAAGGAGTCTCAGAAGCCACTTGGCAGCTCCTAAAGATAGGTTTTCCCGGTCCTATATCATCCAAATAAGCCTCAGTTACACGGCGAGGGCAAGCAAAGGTCTCAACACTGCTCTGCTGAGGTGCTGTGCTCGCCCAGAGCATCACACCGCCTGTACCAGAAGACTTTTCTCTGCACACACCGCTGAGCACTGAAACCAGGACAGACTTCTGCACATATCCTCCAGTTCGGAAAGTCACTAGCACCCATGGATTCCCTTAATCTTAAACCTTCTTCACATCTGCCACCCCCACCCCCACACAAACGAGGGAAGGGGGTTGGGGAGCGGAGGGGTTAAAGTGACAGCCACGACAGCAACTCCTTGGTTTTGTTCAAAAGGTATCACAGCGCCAACACTGTGGACCTACCTTGCTCTCTCCTTTCTCGCCGTTGGGTCTCGTCTCGGGATCGTCGCTGTCCTCAGCTCCGGCACTCTCGCCGGGCAGTTCATCCTGAGCCAGCGGCTGCGGCGGCGGCTGGGGCTGGGGCGGCTGTGGCGGCGCCTGGCAGGCTCCGCCAACCCCCTGGGAGCGGGGGATGGGCTCCGGGCGCGGAGAAACTCCCTCAACATCCATCTCCATCTTCCCATTCACTGGAGGGCAAGACAAAAGCGGAGCGGAGACTTGGCAGCGGCGCCCGGCAGCTCCTCAGCTGCCCGTGGCACGCATGGCTCGCCGAGGAGGGGCCGCCTCCCGCGCGCCCTCCCTCCTGCCACCCTTCGCCCGCGCTCCCCGCGGCTCTGCTCGCCTGCTCGGCTCCGGCACTGGCGGCGTCTGGGCCGGGAAGCGCGAGGAGCGGGTGGCCGCGTGTCCTTGGAGCGCTGGCCTTCAGGCGCCCCCGGCAGTCCCGCTAAGCAGAGCGCATCCCGGCGGCGGCGGCGCCTCCCAGCGCGCTCCCAGCCTCAGGGCCGCTCGAGGACTTGCTCTTCAGCCCGGCCCACGCTCCTCGCCGCTTTCCAGCGTCTCTTGGGGCCCCTCGGCGTTTCCCCTCCCTACCAACCTTCTGAACAAAGTTGCTGGAAGAACAAACCTGATCGCCGGGATGTGCCCGGCCAAACTGGCAAGAATAGGGACTGTCAGGTGTAAGTGAAATCTACCGTCCCCGCCCGCTGACCAAGCGCCGACCCTCAGCCTTACCCCCTCCCCAACGCAAAGGAGCCGAGGAAAGGAGGGGTCTCCGACCTGGGCGAGGTGGCGGCGGGAGGACTAGAAAGAGGAGCGTGCGGAGGGCTGGCGCGTCCACCCCCAACCCCAGTGACCCTCGCCTCCGCGCTGGCCCTGGTCCCCTCCCTCCCGAGGCCGCGCGCGCCTCCGGGGTCAGTCCCTTCGGGCTGTGCGTGTGTGTGTCCCAGAGCTCCGCTCCGGGGTCTGCTCTGCTGCTGGTTGCTCCGCGCCGCACAGCCCTGCACTAAAGAACTGGAGTAGACAAGGAGAAGCCAACGGCAAATTCTGGGCAGGAATCGACCTACCCTTGCCTCTGGCCAGGTCGCAGGTTAGAACCGGGAAGGGGTGGGGCCCCTCGGGGACAGCGAGGACGCGAGTCTCGCGGCGCGCCGGAGTTTGGCGTAAAGGTCGGCAGCAGAGGGTCGATGGGGTAGGAGGAGTGAGAAGCGAGAAGTCGCTGCCAGGCATTTACTGCAATGTGCCCGGGGCGGTCGCCAGCTGGACGCCTTCTCTTTTTGGTGGTGAGTTCCGTGCTGGAAGAGCGACCTCAGCAGAGCAGGGCTCCACCAGGAGGCTTCGGTGGTGACCCCAGGGCGAGCGGTGCGCTGCGTCTACAAATTTAGAGAGAGATGGCGAGGGGTAGACTTGGAAGTTCTTAAATCGGGGTTCACCGTTAGTCAAGTGATCAGGATGACTTCTCAATTTAACAGCACTTAATGCTGGGTAGTAGCTTACAACTTCACGGGAACTGCTACCGCAACTCTGCAGGTTCAGGAGGAACCTTCAAGCAGCTATGGAGATAAATGGCGGGTTATCAAGAACCTGTTCAATATTAAATACAGCCCATTGTTCTGGGCCTTGAGTTCCGTAATGCTCCCAAATGGATCAGCAGATTAATGAACTATTCATGCATTTCTTAGCAGATGATGGCTTTTTTTTCCCTAACATGTATCACAGATCACACTTGCTTGAAGAAACTGGAAAATTGCATTGCTCATCCCGTGAATGCTTTCCATTAACTTTAAACACAACTTTTACATATCAAGACATACTGCCCTTTAGATGCAGTTACACAAGAACACATCATTAGGTTGTATTCCTCAATGCTATCTCTTAATCTGACGCTGCATGTGTGACAGAAATTGCCACTTTCCTCAGTGTAGACAACCAATCTGAATAATGCAATGTGAACAAGCTTTTGAAAAAGAAGAAAAAGTTTAGGGACCAAATTACCCATTCTCTTTTCCTTCAAATTTTCTAAAAATTAGATTTCCAGTTCATTTTCTAAATTGGGAACTTGTTAAAAATAGAGTAACCTCCTCCCCAGTACCTGGTAATAAACCAACAACCATTATAGAATATTTAAAATGGTCAATTAGATTTTATGTGTAATGTACTTAGCAGAGTGTCTTAGTGCATAGTGAGCACCTAACATTGTTATATTGAGAACAGTAAGATAATATACATTCACAGTGCGCATTCACCTGAAGACCTTGATTTACAGAAAAGAAACTACCAGTTTAAATCGCCTTTATTTAAATTTCCTACAAGATATTTGGTATCTTTAGAGAATGAAACCCCTTCTGAAGACAGGAAGAAAGTCAATAGTATTTTGTGCAATAAAGGTTTGAATTTGTCAGGCTTTTTTTTTCTACAGTGTAGAAATAAAAATCACTCGGTTCAGACAGCAGCAGGAATAGCTGACTGGTAAGTTATTATGCTTCCATGCTTGCTACTTCCAAAATATGTTTGTGAACTTCTTTCAAGCTTTAAATGAAGATTAAATCAAAATAAATATACAATACTTCAATTTAATTTGTTCTAAATTTAGACATGTCCTTTTAAACGTTCTTATTGTTAAATGCAAATATTTCTCTTTTCTTCTGCCCCTCTATTTTTGGGGGACATAGTTTTTTTTAAGCATCTGTCACAAGTAAATATGGACTCGGAAAATATATTACATTTCAAAACTGTTGATTGCACCTAATTATGCATGTAAATTGCTACTTCAAGCATCCAGACAGCTTGCAACATTTTGAAAATTTTGCCCTACTAGTCATCTGAGGTATTTGTGTTACTATTTTGCAATTGCCTCAAATGACTCTTCATTTCCCAATTAACTTTCCATTAGTGATAGGTCTATGAATAATTTTGACCGTTGGCTTTCTCTTCTCAGGTGATTTAAATTAGTAAATCAGCACTTTTAGCAACATCACCCTTCTTCCTATTTATACCAGACCTCTTGATTTTTTGAGTTCCTGAGACGGTAGTTTACAAAAAGGTATCCTGGGAGAGTAGTCACTCTAACTCCTTGCTACTGAGTATGATCCACAAACCAGCAGCTTCCCAGCACCTGGGAGTTTGTTAGAAATGCAGTCTTGGGCCCTCCCCTAGCCCTACTGAATCAGAATCTACTTCTAACAAGTGATTCCTACCACATTTAAGTTTAAGACCCAGTGCTTGGCACATCATATGGTTGGTCTTTCTACATTATAATCATCTATGAGCACTCAATATTTCCCTAAAATACTACCAAGAAAGGCTAATTAGGAAAACAATTTAACAACTTTTTTTTTAAGACATTATATTCCCCACCACCTCTCATCCTCCAGGATCTTAGTGTGGCATAATGAAAACTTTCATAAATTAAGAATTTATCTGTATTGTATCTCTGGTAATAAATTAAATGCATACAGTTTTCTGAAATCAAAAGGCATTAACCTAAAAAGCACTTTATCTTGAATAATAAGCTTTATGCAAATATGCGGAACTACTTCCCTAAAAACTTGGTTATTCTTGACCTTCTTTCTACTTGAGACTTAAAAGTCCACAGTTTTTTTTCTGCTGGGATTACTAATTCCTTCTGTTGCAAAGCAAACAGAAACCAAGTGCTTGTCTGTGCAGTGGCAATTAGTAAAGCTACAATAATTTGGAGTGAGTTTGGACCAAATTATGTGCCACAATATTTTTAGGAACTATCAAAAATTATTATAAGAATTTCTTTAAATGACACAGATCGATAAATTGTTACTTTAAAAGGCTATCTACTATAGTACTTTTTACCTTTAATGTATATGAAGTCACCCGGAAAATGCTGTTAAATGCAGATTATGGTTCAGTAGGTCTGGGTTTGGGCCTGAGACTACATTTCCAACAAACATCCAGGTAAAGCTAGTGCTTCTGGTCCTCAGACCTAATGGGTTTGCTTTATTACCATAAATGTTTCTCAAGTTTAATCATGTGGGAAACTTTTGAAAATCTTCAATGCACAGACTACTAGGCTCCAGAAAAATTAAATCAGAATATTTGCAGCTGGGATCTAAGGACAAGTAGCCTTTAAGCCTCTCCAGGTGATTACAATGTGTAGCCAAGACTGATAAACAGTGCTGTAAGTCAGTGAGTGATTCTCCAAGTGTGAGCCCCAAACCAGCAGCAATAGTACCTGGGAATTTTTTGGAAATGTACACTTTAGTGTCCATCCCACACCTATCAAATCAGAAACTCTAGAGGTGAGATCCAGCAATCCATGTTTTAACAAGGCATGATTTTGATGCATGCTCAAGTTTGAGATCCACTGCTATGATCAAAGATTCTCTGTGACTGCATGTGAGAATCACCTGGGGAGTGTTCAAAAAACACTGATTTCCTCCCCCACGATCAATTAAATTATAATATCTGAGGGTGAAATCTAACATGTTAATGTTTAAAAGTTCCCCCAGGTGATTCCAATTGTGCAGACAAGGTTGAAAAGGATGTCTATAGACTGAATTTTTATGTATGCAAATCAGTGTTTCCATGGAGCAGCAGTTTCTTCTATGTTAGTTAAAAAAATTTTTTTTTCTTCCTTAATCTGCAAAAATTGAATACCTAGAAAGGTAGAGTACTATCTCAATTATCATAGATTCAAACTAGTGTATTCAGTATTTTCCAATGAGCCATTTTTTCTTCTTGGTAACATGACAGCAGCTTCTGCTTTCTCCAGAAGGACTCTGATGTGAAATGATTCAGTTTTTTTTTTTTGTTTTTTTTTTTGAGACGGAGTTTCACTCATGTTACCCAGGCTGGAGTGCAGTGGCGCGATCTCGGCTCACCGCAATCTCCGCCTCCTGGGTTCAGGCAATTCTCCTGCCTCAGCTTCCTGAGTAGCTGGGATTACAGGCACGCACCACCATGTCCAGCTAATTTTTTGTATTTTTAGTAGAGACGGGGTTTCACCATGTTGGCCAGGATGGTCTCGATCTCTTGACCTCGTGATCCACCCGCCTCGGCCTCCCAAAGTGCTGGGATTACAGGCTTGAGCCACCGCGCCCGGCAATGATTCAGTTTTAAGTGGCTGTGAGGTGTACCCTGGCACCAGCCTTCAGTGATTAAAGATTCCTGTGTCAGATTGGTTAACCATCTTCAGGGATGTTGCTGTAAATTAAGTCAATGCTATTAAGGACTTTAGCACGTTGCTACCCTAAGTGCAATTCACAGATCATCACCTGGGTGCCCATCAGTATCACCGAGGAGCTGTTTATTAATGCTGACTTTCAGGTCCCACCCCAGACTACTGAATCAGTGTCTGCACATTAGGATCCCCATGTGATATGTATGAACATTTAAAGTTTAAGGAGCACAACTATAGTGTATCCCCCCGTGATATGCAAAGGTAGTATTTAACCAGCCACTTAATCCTAACTTTTACACCTCTTGGCTCTTAATGGATGTACATCCATTCTGAGAACCTTGCAGGACTCTTGTGGGTAACCTTCCAATTGTAGAGGAATCTACAAGCAACCTTTCCTTTACTTTAACCCTTCTGGGCTTAGCTCCACTGTCCAGTAGAACTTTCTGCAATGATAGCAATGGTCTTTATCTGTGCTCTTCAATAAGTAGCCACCAGCCACATATGGCTGTTGAACAAATGAATTGGCTAATGTGACTGAGAAGCTGAATTTTAATTTTATTTCACTTTAATTATTTTAAATTTAAATGGCCTTATGAGGTTATTGCCTCCACTATTGAACAGCACAGCTCAAGAGTAATCATCTTTCCTCTTGCTCAACCCTTATTCGTGATTCCAGGTTGCACACCAGCCCCTCCTTCTCAGCTTTTGTATGTATTAATCCCCAGTGAATGCACCAGGAAGAAAAACATCTGCCTTGCCACCTCATTTACATAATAAGTAACATTATGCTTATTATTTTGAATGAGAGGAGTTTAACTTGAATTAAATGCCAACAAAAGTTGTCAAAACCTTTTTCATAGTATTCATAATTGCCTAGCTTTAATTTTACAGCCTTTTCAAATATCAGCAGACATAGAATGCATTTGGAAACTGCTTTAAGAAAAAGAGACAAAAGACTGCAAATGGATTCCAAGTACAGGATACATAAAGACATGCCCCCCCCTCACCCAGCCCAAGCATCTTGTTGGTATATAATGGAAAGTTGATTACATTGAGTGAATCTATGTTGAAAGTAAATATCAAAACTTGCAGATTACTCTAAAAATGGAAGGTGAAATGCAAAACAAAAAAGAGATCAGGAGCTAACAGTACCAGAAGATAGCAAATGAAATTCAAAATAGAAATGTACTCAACACTTAGTCTGAATATTAAATATCTATGGAACCAACGGAATGTGATGGGATGGGATGGGGTGAGATGAGAGGAGAGGGGATAAAACAAAAACACTCATGATTTGAAAACAGCAGCCAGCCCCCTTGAGCTTTGTCTTCTCTGGGATAAGAATAACAGCAACAACCACATTTATAATTGCACTGCCTATCATTGCTTAAGTGTGCTCTGTACATTATCCTCTATAATCCTTTCAATAACTATAAGGTGGGTGTGATCAGGAAAAAAAATTATTCTGGCGATTTGGATTATTATTTTATTTGGATTATTATTTTAACACACCTCAGAAAGGCAGAATAAAAATAAGCAAATCCCTACTTGAGAGGGAAGAGGATAGTGTTAAAGTCAGCCCGTTTCTTTGATTGAAAAAGGATGTGCATCACTTCTAAGCTGAATTAGCCACAACCTGTCTTATAAAAGGAGGCTAACACTAGGAAAATATTTCATCAGGGTCTGTGCCTTGCCCAGCTGTTGATTTGGTACTGTGTGATTCAAAATTATTCCCACAAAGAGATGTGTAGCTAAGGGCAACAGCCTCACTTCTGCAGGATGGTCACTTC